CTAACACTGACATTAGCTTGAAAAATTTGTCTTTGATTCAGAAGGAAGGTATTTTAGATCCTTACAGGCCTATCTTGAGTGAATATCATTAACTACTGTTCTGATTATGACTATAAACTATGAGTTGATAAATATAAGTTATGAACATCAGTAATTATTGCTATTCTGATTATTTTCATTTGCAGAATTGTTAGTTTAGAGAAGTTGGATATTAAAGGAATTATTTTATTCCAAATACTTCCTGCATAAACTCTTTGGGTCTGCCAGCCTGGTTTATTTACCCACGAAACATTGAGTGCCTCTCATGTGCTGGTCTCTGGTGTTGGTTATTAGAGTAAAACTAGTACCTATGAGCTGCTTTGGAGTTTTTATTAAAGAGCCTATACATTTGTTACAGAGGTAAAAAGTAGAGTGGTTAGAAGAAGGGTTCTAGAGTTGGACAAACCTGGATTTGAATCACAATTTACTAGTTATGTGATTTTGGATAAATTAGTTAATCTCTGGTTTTCAGTTTGCATAATAATAGTACCCACCTACAGAGATTAGTATGAATGTTAAGTGAGGTGGTGCGTGTAAAGTACAAGCCCAGAGCTTGGTAAAGAGCAGGCTCTAGAAACAAACAAAGCTAGATGTAGGCTGCAATACTATTTTCCCATTTGGATGAGTCAGCTAAGAGGTTAGTGACTTGCCCATGGTCACACAATCAGCAAAGGGCCGAGGAAGGACTAGAATCCAGAGTGAATCCTTTACAATGTAGCAAAGGCTGATTTTTAGTACACACACACACACACACACACACACACACGTGCATCAGAATAACAAATGGGAAATGCTTTACATGTTATTTATAACCCCTTTTTCTCCCAGCCTGGTGTGTCAACATTTGAACAAAAAAAAATTATCCCAAGCCTTTAGCTAAAAATACAGGACAGGACTGGTTCTGCTTGGCATGACAATGACAAGTTATTATTCTTGCCATAGCGTCGTCATCTGTAAGATGGGGCTAACAAAACTGCCTCCTAGTTAACACAGGGATTAATTTCATATTTGCAATGTCCTTTGAACTTCTTGAAGAAAGATGACACTGACGTGGCAAGCATCCCACAAGGATGGTGCTCCTATGTGACTGTTGTGACAGAGCAAAATTGGAGTCCCCAGCCTGCTGTCAGCAGCTCTTGGCAGCACAGGGCCAAGCTTCACTGCTAGGCAATGCTGTGCTCTTGACTGTTGGTCTCCCTCCAAGTTTTTGAAGTTTTGTTTTTTAGAGAAACAATAGGAAAGATATTTCAATTATAGCAGGAAAGACATAGCTAAGGCCACCTTTTTTTCACTTCTTCATCTTTCTGAAGTTTCTGACTATCAAACCCATTCCTTTTTGAGCAAACCTCCATATAGTTTTAAAATTAATTTTTAAATACATGGAACAAAATTTAAAAGGTACAAAAGGATATGCATTAAAACATCACCTTCCCACCCCTGTCTCCCAGCCTCTGAGTTCTCCTTCCCAGAAGTAACCACTGTTTCAATCAAATACTGTATGTATATTTGTGTGTGTGCTTTCTGTGCAATGCAATGGTATAATGGCATACTATGCATGTTGTACTGTAACTCTTTTTTTCTTAATTCTATGTGTTAGGGATCATTCCACTTTAAGGTATACAAAGTTATCTTATTCTAATAAAGGTCGCATAGTATTGGATTATATGGGTAAACCATAGTTTAATTAGTTTCTTATAGGCAGATATTCAGTTGTTTCTAATCTTGCTATTTAAAAAACTGCAGCAATGACTAGCCTACATTTAAAAATATGTTGGAATCTATCTAAAGCTTAAATTCCTAGAAGTGCATTTAAATATTGCCAAATTGCTTGCAGTAGAGGCTGTACCAATGTATATTCTCATCAATAATTCATGGGAGTGCCCTTTTTCCATATTTTTTGCCCCATATCTTCACATTTTGTTCTAGAATCTAGCCCGACATCATTTACCTGCATGTTTTTTTCATGATGGCTTGTATTGATGGCAGTAATACAGGAACTTCCTTACAAGTTAAATAATTAAATTCTAAAGCAAATTGCCTGGGAAGACTGCGGAAGTTCTTTATTTAAGATATCTAATATCATCTTTGTGTTTATTGGAATAGCTTATTGCAATATATAGTGATTTTATAAAGACAAAGAGAAAAATCCTGAATGTCCATCTAATCTAATGGTCCTCAAAGAATGGTTTGCAGATCACTGCATCAGAATCACATGGGAGGGGGGAGTGGGGCAGGGAGGATTTTAAAAAATGAAGATTTGAGGACTGCTCCAGACTTATGAAGCTTGAACTCTCCAAGAGATAGGCCATGTTCTCACTGGTCATCCTTATACCTATTATCATTTGGAACCTGTTCTGTCCTCAGGCTAGGTCAATTTACAGGCAGACAAGTACTTTTACTAATTTACTTTTTAAAAATTAACACAGTGATACATTTTTATTGTAAGACATTTCAGAAAGACAGCTAAGCAAAAAAAAAAAAGAGAGAGAGAGAGAGAGAGAGAGAGAGACTAGTAACAGCACTGATACTGCTTCAATTGCTGGGTATAAATTTATCTGGCTTAAATCCTCACAATCCTATGAGTTCAGTACCATCATTACCCTCCTCTCCCGTATTTTACAGATAAAGAAATGGAATGACAGAGAGGGTAAGTAATTTTTACATGATATTGCTAATAATCAGTGTTGCCACAATTTAAACTCCAGTGTTTCTAAAGCCTGAAGTCGAATTCCAGAGCACTCAATCAGTGAATTCTAGAATACAGACATTGGGTGTATGTTGCTTGTGGTTTTTGTTTTGTTTTGTTTCGTTTTTGAGACAGAGTCTCGCTCTCCCTCTGTTGCCCAGGCTGGAGTGCAATGGTGCAATCACAGTTCATTGCAACCTTGAACTCCTGGGCTCAAGCAATCCTCCTATCTCAACTCCCTAATAGCTAGGACTACAGGCACATACCACCACATCCAGCTAATTTTTCTCATTTTTTGTAGAGACGAGGGTCTTGATGTATTGCCCAGGCTGGTGTTGAACTCCTGGCCTCAAGCGATCCTCCCACCTCAGTCTCTCAAAGCGTTGGGATTACAGGTGTGAGCTATTGCACCTGGTCTGTTCTAGTTCTTGTCTTTGTCTTATGCACATATACTTATGAGTTCATCAGAGAAACTTTCCTTAGCCTTCAACCCCTGTTTTCTCTTATTGTACCTTGGGTATAATGAGTAGTGGGTACAAATAAATGGTGGTGAGGCTGGGCATCATGGCTCATGCCTGTAATCCTAGTACTTTGGGAGGCTGAGGTGGTATGATCATTTGAGGCCAGGAGTTGGAGACTAGCCTGGGCAAAATAGTGAGAACCCGCTCTCTACAAAACAACAAAAAAGTTAGCTGGGCCTGGTGGCATGCACCTGTAGTCCTAGATACTCAGGGAGGCTGAGGTGAGAGGATTGCTTGAGCCTAGAAGTTTGAGGCTGCAGTGATCTGTGATCTGGTCACTGCACTCCAGCCTGGATGATAGAGCACAATCCTGTCTCTAATGGGTGGTAGAGAAGATGCAGAGAAGGAACCTCAGGAAATATCTCCAAATATCTGTTATTTATACAACTATCTTTTTGTATCAAAATTATCTTTTTGTAAGGCTGTACCAATTTATATTCTTACCAGTTGTGTATGAGTGAGGAATTTCTTCATTATTCTTTATTCTTGATATCCATTAGGTCACCAGATGTTGTATATTCTCATTAAATTGTGGAATATTTAGTGCCTTTATATTCAGTAAAAATTGCTTTTGTTAATTAATATCAAGGACAGGATGCAGACGAATGTTCTGTAAAATAATAGAATGCTGGAAACTTTGCTGTTTAAAATTATATCAGTGTGAACAGAACATACCATTCTTGCCTGGAGGATCTAAGCCATGCAGGTCAATATGACACAGAATTGTCAACCCAGATACAAAGCTTTAGATAAGGAGTTTTCAGACCCAACAGTTCACATTTATCTTAACTTTGAGGTTTCCCAGGGAAGAGGACCCTAAGTCTACTTCTCAGTTCAGGCACAGGCCTACTGTTAACCTGACACTACACACAGCTCCGCTTTGCTTTGAGCCTATCAAAACACCACTTCACTTAATTTTTACCAAAACTTCCCCTTTTCCCATAATCCAGTAATGACACTTCTGTTTGGTGGGATGGGTCCAGTTCCTCTGAGGTACAGTAAGTTAATAAATCTAACTTTGTTGACTACAGGTTTGTTCCTGGTGGTCTTTACTGGAAGACTTTATCAATCCTAAACTGCAGGCCCTAAATCTGAAAACAAAAGGGAAGTTCTACTCAATATCATTTTACAGATTCTTTTAAAAACAACATGGATTCTTATCTGCTGGTTATTTAAGTCTCCTGCCTATTGCTTAATAATTAAGATCATTTTTGCTTTCAGTTCTTCCCATATTCCAAGCTAGTCAGAGTGGCTGTTTTCCCTGCATGGAAAATTCTTCCCCTAGATCTTTGGCTGGCTAGTTCAGTTCAAACATCACCTCTTTGGAGAAGTTCTCCCTGGTTATTTTTATCTAATGTAGTCATCTCTCCTCACACTCCCCCATCCACCATCCATCACTCTTTCTCTTCATCCCATTTTATCTTATTTTTCTTATTCTCCGAAATTATCTTATTCCATTATTTATTATTTGTCTATCCCCAAGAAGACATAAACTCCAGGAGAGAAGGTATCACGACGACGTTGACAGCTGCGACACGCCTGGTGTTTGGAAAACCGTCTGACGAGCACTTGCAGAATGAGTGAACAAATCTGGGAACTATCCGCATCATTTTCCTCCATCCCCTTTAAGTACCTACCCTTCAAGTGGATCCACCCGCGTGACAACGCCGGCGAGAACGGCCTCGCCATTGGCTGGAGAATTTGCCGTTGCTCCTAGCAACCACTGTTTCCCACCAGTCGTGTCGTCGCCCCGCCTGGCCCCGCCCCCAGGACGCCCAGGTCGGGACCCGAGGTAAAATTGGCGCTCGCCCTTTAAGCGGCGGGACTTCTGGTCACGTAGTCCGCGGCCGCCGGAAGGGGAAGTTTTCTCCTCAGAACGCTGCCTCGCTCGTCCGAATTCGGTGGCGCCACGTCCGCCGGTCTCCGCCTTCTGCACCGCGGCTTCGGCGTCTTCCGCCTCGACACCTTCCACTCGCTGAGCTGGCCGCGTCGTGAGGAGGCCGTCACAGAGAGTCGGGCGGCCGTGCGCAGCCTGGCGACCTGAGAGGCGAAGATGTCGGACATCGGGGACTGGTTCAGGAGCATCCCGGCCATCACGCGCTATTGGTTCGCCGCCACCGTCGCGGTACCCCTGGTCGGCAAACTCGGCCTTATCAGCCCGGCCTACCTCTTCCTCTGGCCCGAAGCCTTCCTCTATCGCTTCCAGGTACTGACCGGCGGCGGGGGGAGCGGAGACTGCAGGACCCAGGCGACCCCGCGGCGGCGGAGCGCAGGCCGGCATGTCGCGGGCGCGTGGAGCCTGGTGGGATTTGTAGTGCGCCCGGCGCTGGCGGTTTAGGGCGGGGTCCGGTGGACCCGCGTAGGCCGGGGGTCTGGAGCGAAGGCCAGGGGTTTGGAGCGAAGGCCTGGATGGCTGGAGATGGGGGTTTGGTCTGGCAGAAAGGGACTGACTTCACCTGTGCAGTGAGATTGTGCTTCCCGCCCTCCGCACTTAGTGATGGTTGTCAGTCTGTTGGCAACTATTAGCAGCCTGGGTCCACCTGGAGCTGTGCTCGAAGACCTCCCTCTGTCACCCACGTGGGTGGCGTGTGGCTGTGTCAACTTGACCAACTTCCGAACTGAGTTTCTTTTATGTTAATGAGGGTTGGTCGTTGTTGTTTTTGTTGTTTTTTCCGTCTATATGAATGATTTAAGGTCAGAGATACAAAGAATGAGTGTATATATCTGCGTTTCCCTCAACCCCTAACCTAGTGTCTGGCATGTAGAAGTAGGAATGGGTAAAGAGTAGATTGCTGCAGAAATGGAAGGCCACCTTAAAGCATGAAGGAATCAGTCCAGAGTAACATTTCTGGCAAGAGAGTATTGGTTTCCTGGAGGTTATCTTTACTCACTAAATTCTGATTTGAAACTTTTAGTCAGTGGCAGGTCAGATACCAAAATTTGACGTAAATTTCAACACATTACTTGGCTTGTGGATAACGCTCTAGTCTTCCGCCACTTCACTGGGTGTCATTTCTTAGTCTCCTTTCCTAGTTCCTTATCTTCCTGACCTTTAAATATTGGGGTGTATCCCAGAGATCAGTTATAAGACCTTTTCTATAGGACTCTCCCTAGCGCTAGGTGATCTCATTCAGGGCTTTAAATACTATGTATAAACTGAAGACTCAAAATACAAATATAAATATCTTCAGTCCAGATCTGTCTCCTGATATTCCAGATTTTTACATCCAGTGGTTACTTGAAATCACCGCTTGGATGACTAATGTTCATCTTCAATTTAGCATACTCAAAACTGAATTGTCTTTCCCCCGTTGCCCTAGAATAAATAGTAATTCCAGTATTAGAAAAGTTCAAGTTAATAGTGGAAGAGTCATCCTTTTTTTTTTTTTTTTTTTTTGAGACAGTCTCACTGTATTACCCGGGCTAGAGTGCCGTGGCGTCATCCTAGCTCACAGCAACCTCAAACTCCTGGGCTCAAGCAATCCTCCTGCCTCAGCCTCCTGAGTAGCTGGGACTACAGGCATGCGCCACCATGCCCGGCTAATTTATATATATTTTTAGTTGTCCAATTAATTTCTTTCTAATTTTAGTAGAGACGGGGTCTCACTCTTGCTCAGACTGGTTTTGAACTCCTGAGCTCAAACAATCCGCCTGCCTCGGCCTCCCAAAGAGCTAGGATTACAGGCGTGAGCCACTGCGCCCGGCCGAAGAGTCATCCTTGAGTTCTTTCACACTCCACTATCTGTCAGCAAATCTTGTTGACTCTACTTTAAACATATCCAGAATATAATCCCTTCTCCATTGCAAGCCATTGTCATTCCAACCTTGTTCCTTTCGATCTTTTAGACAAGCTAGAGTGATCCTTTTAAAACACAAATCAAGCCCTGTCCTCTGTCCAGAATCCTCTGATATTTTGTCAATTCAGGGGTAAAATCCAAGTCCTTTCAGTGGGCTACAAGGCCCCCAACTGCCTTTCTGACCTCATCTCCTACTATTCTCTGTTGTGTACATTAGACCCCACAATGAGATCCTTGCTGTTACTTTAGTGCCTAACTGGATCCCTCCTTGGCCTTAGCACATATTTCTCTGCCTGAGGAAGATAACCACGATTCCTTTGTTACCTGCTTACATTCCCAGGTCTCTGCACAGATGCCGTCTCATTGGCAAGGCTTTTTCTGATGGCCCTACATAAAATAGCCCTTCCTTCACTCCATCTCCCTTATCCTTACTTTTTCTTGGTACATATCACCGCTTGATATTTGTTAGTCTGCTTCCCCTCAGAGAGTAAGGCTCCATGAGAGCCAGATCTTTGTTTTGTTTACCACTGTCTTTGTTACTTAGAATATTGCCTGGCACATAGTAGGTGCTTATATATTGGCTGAATTATGGGAAATAATTGGGCACTTGCTATGTGCTGGGTACTGGGGTACAATAATGAATATGACAGAAAAGATTCCAGTTCCCGTGAAGAAAACAGAGAGGCATGTGACGGAGAGTGACTTAAGGGGTGTAATATTCAGTCGGGTGTTCCAGAATAGGCCTCAGAGAAGACATTTGAAGAAACCTGAATGCCAAGGAACCAGCCAGCTTTGGGTAGATCTGGTTCTGGAGACAACCTTCTAGGAAGAAAGAGTACTAAGTGAGAGGCTCAGAGGCAGGAACTAGGAACAGAAAGACTGGGTAGCTAGTACAATCAGCTGTAAGGGTGAGGATTGGTAGACGAGGGCAGGGAGATAGCCAGGGATGGGTGCAGTAAAGTGAAGATGGAAAGGTAGTTTGAAACTTGATCATATAGGGTCATGTTAAGGGGTTTTGAACTTTATTTTGAGGGCACTACGGAGCCTTTGGAGCCTTTTGAACGAAGGACTGACAGATTGCCTACTGTGGGGTGGACTTGGTGTGCATGTGTGGGGAGTGGAGGGAGGCAATGGAATCAGAAGAATCCAGTTAGGAGGCAAGAGAGATGGTGGTTTGGATCAGGGTAGCTGTGAAGATAGAGAAAAGTGGATAGATTCAGCAGTTAGAGTGGACAAGATTACAGCTGAACGGTTGTGAAGGGTGAATGGGTGAAGGATATAGGACTCAAAGATATCTCTGTTTTCACTGGAGCAGCTGAGTGGATGGCGGAGCTCCTTACTGAGATTGGAAATGCTTAGGGAGCTCAGGTTTGGGGTTATGGATGAAGAATTATGTTTTGGCCATGTTAAGTCTTGAGATGCTTTTAGGCATCCAAGTGGAGAAGTCAAATAGGCAGTTGGATATAAGAATATGATTCTGGAGTGCAGCCAGAATTGCATACCGTTCCCTGTTTAGTAAATATTTGTTGGCTGAGTGAATGCTGTGCACTTTGTTCCTGGTATCTGGTTGGGTAATGTGTGTGCACGGGGAGCAATGGTTGCATATTATTTTGTGAGAAGGACCAGGTAAAAACTGACTTGTTGGCCCTTCTTGCAAAATCTCACTTGTGTAGTCAGATTAGTAGAAGAAGTAATGTAGAACAGCCTTTCCAATAGGCTGCAGGTGTGTAATGTTAAAAGCAGTGAACTGATTAGAAAGAGTCATCGTTCATGTCACACCTTGCACAATTTCCCCCAATCTCCTTTGCATTGTTTGTTCTGGGCTTGTTATCCCCCGACTGGGAGAAACTGCTGGCAGTTGGCAGGACAGTGCACTGACTGCCCAGGTGTGGAAAGACCAACAGCTGTACTTTGTCTCTCCTTCCTGTTACTATGGATGGACTCTTGCCTATTCTGGACAAGTTTAACTGTCAGACCCACCTGGAGGAACTCATTTGAAAATGAAGCAGTCCAGGAAAAACTGCACGTGAGAGTCTGCTGTGCAAGGAGAGTGCGAGGTGTGCTTTAGCAGAATTTCTGCTAGAGGCTCCTCTTTTCCTTAGAAGCTGGATCTTTAATAACTTAAAAAAATTGGGGGATGATTGATTCGTGCGCTTATGTTGGAAATGACAAAAGTTATTTTTCCTGCTTATCCGTAGGTTTTCTCTGTGTAGCTTGTTGGTTTGGAATTCCAAAGTTTAAAATGTTATTTCTGGCTGGGCGTGGTGACTCATGCCTGTAATCCTAGCACTGTGGGAGGCCCAGGCGGGAGGATCGCTTGAGGTCAGGAGTTCAAGACCAGCCTGAGCAAGAGTGAGACCCCATCTCTACTAAAAACAGAAAGAAATTATCTGGATAACTAAAAATATATACAGAAAAAGTTAGCCGGGCATGGTGGTGGTATATGCCTGTAGTCCCAGCTACTTGGGGGACTGAGGCAGAAGGATTGCTTAAGCCCAGGAGTTTGAGGTTGCTGTGAGCTAGGCTGATGCCATGGCACTCTAGCCCAGGCAACAGAGCAAGACTCTGTCTCAAAAAAAACAAATAAATAAATTTAAAAAAATAAGATGTTCGTTCTTTAGTTGGACAGGTTGAAACAGGTGTGTGTTAAGATTCATTACACTGTTGTTCGTGATTTCTCCCTATTCTGAGTCCCTCAGACTTAATACTCATCAAATAGTTCACAATGATGAAATGTCTTCATATTGTTGGTTCCTTATTAACTATAAGACGGGGCAGTTTCCTGCTGCCCTAGCGTTATTCTGAGATTATATCTCCCAGGGTTGCCTGCATGGCAGTATTTCTTCATTTCTTTGGACAAAATTACATCACCCTCTTAAATCTGCATTGTGCTTCTCCTATTTCATTCAAGTCCCACAATCATCCTGAGATAAGTATTACAGTGTTACCCCCATTTTATAGACAGTTGCAGTTTCAGTTTCTGTCTCATTGAGTCAAAAAGATAGTTTTAAGCTCTCTTGTTTAACTCCTTTGCATAATATCTTCCAAAAAAAAATCATTAAATGTTTAGCAAAACATTTCTTCCAAATCAGTCTTAGCAAGTTACTTTTCCTTTTCTATTAGAGTAGGAAGAACATAGGATTTCAAGTAATTGAGTCATGGTCTGAAGACCTGGCTTGTAAGGGGCTGACTTACTAGTTGTGTGCCCTTATGCAAGCTGTTTATTCTGTCTGAGCCTCAATTTCTTTACCTAAAAATGGGGATATGAGCTATTGTCCAGGCCATAAGAAAAATAAAAATGGGGATAATGTAATACCGTTTTTTAAAAAAAATAGTGTTTTGATATGCTCAGGCTGTCTCAAACTCCTAGGCTCAAGCAGTCTTTCTGCTTCAGCCTCCCATAGTGCTG